CTCCCCCAGAACCCCCCCTGCCCTCCCCCTGACAGCCCCTCTCGTCCCTGTCCCTCAGACACCTCGCCCCTGTGTACCCCTCATGGTTGATCTCCTCCATGCCTCCTAACTTCCCCAAGCTCAGCCCCACCGCCATAATTGGGGGGGCTTCCTTCCACCTGGCCTCCCCCCAGCTCAAGTCTTTTTAACCTTGTAAATTAAATCTTGCTTCTTGTCTGCATTGCAAACGGAGCTGTGTGACGTGTCCCTGTCCCTCAGACACCTCGCCCCTGTGTACCCCTCATGGTTGATCTCCTCCATGCCTCCTAACTTCCCCAAGCTCAGCCCCACCGCCATAATTGGGGGGGCTTCCTTCCACCTGGCCTCCCCCCAGCTCAAGTCTTTTTAACCTTGTAAATTAAATCTTGCTTCTTGTCTGCATTGCAAACGGAGCTGTGTGACGTTCTTTTGTTATTTCCTTAGCAACCCGTTCCAAAATAGAATCCTATCGGAAATTCTCTGGGAAATCGTGGGGTGTCAGTGCAGGATGTGTGCACAGCTAAGGGTAGGCGCGAAGCCGTCATGACTGTGCCGATAGGCCCGAAGACGTGGGAACCGCTGCTCAGCGCTTGCTGGCGATGTGACAACCTCTGCCCTTGCTGGAGACAATCAGAAAGCATCCATGTTGTGTGACGCTCAATGAAGTAGCAGAGTTGACAAACCACGGAGACAGGCTAGAACCCCCAAAGGCGAGACAACACACACGAGATAACCATGGGAAGCCTGACAATCGCATCAAGGATAACGGGAAACCTGCGCAATTGGCCCCATTTAAGGGGCAAGGAGTGTGGTGTGAAGTTGCAAACGCCATAGCCTCAAATGGGGACTTCTACGTGCAAAGATTCAGGGGTGGGCAGAATCTGCAAAGCGCCGGAGCATCGGCTCACAACCCACAGAGCCCAACGCCTCAGTCATGTTCCGTTTAACTGGCCACTAGACTGACTTGAGCCAGGCCCATCTGCAGGATCGGCGTGTGTGTGTGGACGCACGTGTTGCTTTTCGTGTTGTGTTGCAATAGAGGTGACTGTGATGGCGCGATGGGGTTCCCCCGTCTCCTGCACCCCGAAATGGCACAAACAGACTGCACCAGCCGGTGTAATGGAGGTTGTTTATTGCCTCTCCAGGTTACAGCACAGCACAGATGGAATCTGGTCACAGAGCTGGGCTAGGATGCCTCAGGCCCCCTTGAGATGGGGGAGACTGGGCCCCTAAACTCCAGCCCCTTTCCCTAGGCTCTCCTCCATGCTTCCAGCCAACAACTCACTAACTCTCTTCCAGCCCTGCCCCCCAGCCAGGGCAGCATCCACCTTCCTTTGTTCCTCTCCATGGGGGGTGTCTGGTTCAACAAGTTTGGCATCACCTTTGCATAGTGAGGTTTTCCCTGCTGGGTCTTGCTCCAGACAGCAGGGGTCACCACAGCCCAGCAAGTACCCCTTTTCCCTGGCAACGGTCTCATGGCGTCCAGTGTGTGGGCGTGTGTGAGGTGGGTCAGTGGTGTTGATTCAGCCTGTCATGGGAACATCAAACTAGCCTGAGAACACACGACAGCTGGTAGCGCAGGGAACAGTCTGGCTACGTCCACACTCGTGGCTTCTTGCACGAGAAATATGCAAATGAGGCTAAGCGTGGAATATCGCCGAGCCTCATTTGCATACCTAATGAGCCGCCATTTTTGCAGAAGAGGCTCTTGTGCCAGAAGGAGCTGTCTACACTGCCCCCTCTTGCTTAATGCTAGTATGCGGATTATTTTCAGGACTAATTCATATGCAAGAAGCCGCGAGCGAGGCTGCCATGGTCCCAGCCAGTGGGGCTGTTTCTGCAGAGGGGGCGGGTGCTGGCCCTGTTACTCGGGTGGGGTCGGCTCTTTTCCTTGACCCACGCACCCTTCTGCTGCACCCGGGAAGGGTCTGCCTGGCAGCCCACAGCAGTGCCTTTGGGGAGTTTCTGCCTACAGCCAGACAGGCCTTGCTTAGGCAGCTGCTGCAGGTGTCATTGCCCTGGCCTCCGGCTACAAACGAGCGAGCGGCAGAACCATGTAACCCAAAATAATTTTATTGTTGCTGTTGCTTCTGATACAAAAAGGAATCCACAAGGAGACGCTGGCGCTGCGGGGCCCAGCCGAAAACCAACTAGCAAGAAATGTCAAAGGACACAAATCACCACACTAGACTGGAATGAACAAAAACCTTCTGCTTTCTCCTTTGGCTCAACACACACACAAGCCCCCACCTCTGCTCAGTTATTCACTTCTTAAAAGCACCTTTTGGTTAAAAAGACAAAACAAAACAGAAAGAGGCCACCTGCCGTGCCATGAGGTCTGGTCCTCTTGCAGAATCCAGCTTGTGGCGTTTGCCGCTGCATTATGCAAAAGAGTTTTCAAGTTTGAGATCAGCCGAAGTCCAGTGCACACGCCCGCTCCCGGCACGCCAGGTGGCAGCAGCTTCCCAGGAAAAGACAGAAAGGAAAGGCGCCCCCTGCCCCCGCCCGGACGCTGCGCTCCCCACCTCCGCGAGGGCTGCACAGGCACAGGAGAGGGGGGATACAGCGCAATCCGTGTCAGCACCAGCTGAGAGCACCTTGGAGCTGAGGCTCGGCCGGTGGCCAGGTAGTTGTGTGTTGCCAGGAGGGGATTAGCACCTTCCTTTCCCTTGGCTGGTGCCGTGTCGCTGGAGAACAAAACACCCGGGAAAGGGGAAAAGGGACTTTCACGCAGTGCTGGAACCGGGCCCTGCAGAAAGCTGCGTACGAGAAGTCGCCCTGAGGGCAGGAAACCAGGGTGGCCAGTCCCCACCTGTCTGCTCTGGCCACTGGCGGCCGCAGGGAGGCCAATCCCATTCGCAGACGGGTTTAGTGCCTTGCCTTTGAGCAGGGGGCGTTTCTGACGCCCGCAGTGACCAGAGCGGACGCGGCGCGCAGCCCGTCTTTGCAAGGAGCCCCTGACGCGGGTGGACAGCCAAAGGCCCTATGGGCAACTCCAACCAGACGCCTCCACACTGGAAGCTCCAACCGGGAGCCATTGTGGGCATGTGGGGCCCTCTCCCCCGTGGGCCTGCAGCCCCCCAGCCAGCTAACCCCAGTCCTAGCTGGAGGGAAAGGCCAGCCAGCTGTGCTGAGCTGAGACACTGCAGCTCGTGGTGACTGTTCAGGCGTACTCAAGCGATGCCCCCCCAGCGCCGCTCAGCACTCGCTGGGGTCCAGGGACAACCTACAAGCCGAGAGGCGGGCCGGGCCGGCAGTGCGGCGAGTACTGTACATGGAGCCGGCAGCCCGGGCAGCTTGCAAAGTGGGGGGCAGGCGTCAGCCCAACTGGCCCTTCCCTCCCAGAGGGGCCACGTTAACCCTTTGGCTGCCATGCGAGGGCCGGCTGGAGCCCAGTGTGAGAGGAACGGGAGCAGGGGGACGGCCAAGGACCAGTTTCAATAGCACCATGAGGACAAGGCAGAGGCAAAGGGGAAACGGCAGCAATAGAGCAGCGTCGCGAGGCGTCCCGTCTGAGCTCTGTCCCCAACCGCCACCCGGCCCCTGCGAGTGGCTCTTGGCCACGGAGACAGGGAGAGGGCCCTCGAGTCCGCTCAGACAGGCAGTGGAGAAGGGCAGGGCCCCCACTGCGGGGGAGGAGAGCGCGGAGGGAGACCCGGCCCCCGACGGCGCGAGATTTCCCAAGCTCCTTTGGGGCGTTGCGCGGGGCGCGCACACGGGCTGCCCGGGGCACATTCCCGCAGACAGCGTGGCCGGCCAGGTGCTGGCCCGGGGGTGCGGCGCGAGCCAAGGGGTTTGTTCCAGGTGTGGGTGGCGCTGCTAAGAACTGTGCTGTGGCGGGCTGGCGGGCTCTCAGGGCGGCTAGAACAGCTGGAGCTGAACCCTCATCCTGAGCGCCTGGCCAAGCTGCCCTGCCAAGTAGTCCAGGTCATTCTTGGCCTCCAGTGTCTGCAGGGCCCCC